CAGTCCGGCAAGCGGGTCGGCAGGACTCCTCGTGCCCAATTCGCAAGCAGAGGTCTCAGGTCTCAACCCGGCCAGCATGTCCCAGCAAGCAGAGGTCTCAGGCAGCAGGTCCACGCCGCAGTTGCAAGCAGAGGTCTCAGGTCTCAGCCCAGCCACAGGTTGCAGCAAAGGTTTCAGGTCTCAGTCCAGCCAGCCGGTTGGCAGGACTCTCCGCGTCGCAAGTTTCAGCAGAGGTCTCAGTCTCCATCTGGCCAGCCAGTCGGCAGGAGCCTGCGCCCCGCAACCAGCAGAGGTCTCAGGTCTGAACCCGGCCACCAGGTCGGCAGGACTCTTTGTGCCCCAAGTGCAAGCAGAGGTCTCAGGTCTCAACCCGGCCAGCCGGTCGGCAGGACTCTTCATGCCCCAGGTGCAAGCAGAGGTCTCAGGTCCCAAACCGGCCGGCAGGTTGGAAGGGCTCTTCACGCCGCAAATCCAAGCAAAGGTCTCAGATCTCAGTCCGACTAACAGGTCGGCAGGACTCTTCGCGCCCAAGGGGGAAGCAGAGGTCTCAGGTCTCCATTCCACCAGCAAGTCGGCAGGACTCTTCGCGCCGCAGTTCAGCCAGTCAACAGACCTCTCAACGGAGCAAGCAGTGAGCCATGGGGCAGAGTCCTCAAACATGGCAGCTGTTATATCCCTTGAGCAAGCGATACCTGACGAAGTCTGTGAAGCTCGAATCAAGTGCGACTTATGCCCAAATTCCATTGCCCAGTTGCTTGAAGATTTCACGCCCGATCAATGGCAACTACAGCTACCAGATGGCATGCAACTACATGAAAGCGTAGCGCCCTGGCTCGAACATGAAGTTGACTGGCGTCCTTGCCCATGCCAGCAAACGCTCCACTTGTTCGTTGATGGCACCTCCTGGCCTGATGCCAAGCACCCGCCTGCGTGGGCAGTCCTTGCTTTCTGGGAAGGAACCACCAAAAAGCACTGGGCTGGCTATCTTGCTGACATCTTGTGGGGGCCTGACCATTCCAAATTCCTTGGGTTCGACCACCCCCAGGCTCTCGAGGCAGAATGTGTCGCCATGTTCATAGCACAAGCCATGATCTTGGCTGCGAAACCATCCAGCGCTGTCATCCACTATGACTGCAAAGTCGCGGCCAGGACAGCTGAGGGCAGATGGCGGTTGCAAGGTAAGCTAGGAGAAGCCAATGTCCCACGAGCCATGCATGCCCTTCGTGCTGTTGCGGCTGAGGTTGGTGTCCCTATATGCTTCCAACACGAGCGGTCACACACCGGCATTGGTGGCAATGAGATGGCTGACTCACTTGTCAAGCACGTGTCCAAGTTCCCACGAGCAGCCACTGAGGCACCAGGAGAGCCAGTTGCATTTGCCATCAGGCATCACATGTTCGCTTGGTTGTGGGTGATCGCTAATGATGCCAAAGTGGCTGACATGCCCTATGAGTCGCCCGTGCAAGTCATAGGTGAAAGCTCCAACGTCATGAAGGAGGCTTTGGCAACGCCTGCCGCCCTGGCAATGCAGACAGCGTCAGCCGCCAAGGAAGTCATTCAGCTCGAGTGGCGGCTCATCACATATAACTCCTTGTCCATGCAACGTGTCGAACAAAGACAATGCCTTGCTAGCCACCTGTCAAAGCAGCGCTGCCCTGTGGCTGGCTTTCAGGAAACAAGGGAGACGTGTGACGTCATGAGGCACTTTCAGGGCTTTAAAATTTTCGCTTCAATGCCTATTGCAGGACAGGGTGGATGCCAATTGTGGTTTTCCACTTCCGCCATTGCCAACGCAGAAAGCGGGCCAGTCACATGGGATGCAAGGGGGTTCTCTGTCACGCATAGCTCGCCCCGTTGTCTTGTTGTGACCGCCAGCTGTGCAGGAGCCAGGTTCGCGTTTGTCTGCGCACATGCCCGCACCTCAGCCGAAAAGCCAGACACAATTCATGAGTGGTGGCAGTGGTTAGCAGGCATAGTAAATGCCATCCCGCGAGGCAGGCAGGTGGTGCTCTTAATTGACGCCAACGCTCGATTTGATGCTGGCGTGGAAGGCAGCATGAAACCCCGAAACCTCAATGCTGAGCATTTTGCGCATTTCTTGCGACGGTTCGAGCTTGCCGCAACTGGGGTGTTAAATAGCGCGGGGCAACCCATAGTCACGTGGACGAGTCCAGCAGGCAAGCCTGCTTGCTTGGACTTTGTGGCAGTGCCACAGTCATGGCGGCCTTTCCTCTCTGTGCATCATGATGTCCCGCATTTCCTTGATTTGCATTCAGGGTTTGATCATCACCCGCTGCATGCCGACCTCAAAGTTTGCCTTGAGCTTGAAGTCGTAAAGAGGCGCCGCGTGATCGATAGAGCTTTCTTGGCATCGGACGAAGGGCACCAATGCGCAAAACAAATCTTTCAAAGCCTCCCTGCTGTGCCTTGGGAATGTGATGTTGATGTTCATTTAAGTGTCATAAATGCGCATCTTACACAGGCGTCGGATATGCTGCCAGCAAAGCTGCCCGGGCCACGCAAGCCTGGCATGTCACCTGACGCCTGGCTGTTAGTTAGGGCACGCCATCAATATAGACACATCGCTAGACGAGCCAGGGCCATGACACAAAGGATCTGGCTACATGCTGTGTTCAAAGCATGGCGGCGGCCGTGCTATCGTGCCAATGTGTGTAGGCCTCTTGCCGGATTGTACGCTCTGCAGGCCAGATGCTGCGTTAGTGTTAGAAGACTGGGTCAAAAGTTGCGAAAAGTCACAAGGAAAGATGAAGCTCAATTGACAAGGAAGGCCATGAAAGATGCCAAAAGTGAGGGTCCTGAGGCGCTGGCATCGCACATGCGCGCCGTTCTTCGGTCCGGTAGACGGTACAAGGCCCTGCAGCCCAATCCCGTTTTGCTCACAGGAGATTCTCTCCTGACTGAACCGGAAGAAGTCTTGGACCGCCTGCAACAGCATTTTGCGCAGTTTGAACGTGGGGAAATTGGCTCGCTCGAGCAATGCAGGTCACGGGAAGCCCCGAGGCCCCAAGTTGTGCCCATCGAAGAGATACCGACTTTGCATGCGTTGACCGAAAGCTTTTCGCAGCTTAAATCTGGCAAGGCGCCAGGCCTAACAGGCCTTGTAGCCGAGCTATACCGCGCAGCTCCAGCTGAGGCAGCCAGGACACACTGGCCGTTGCTTGCCAAGACGTGTGCTCGCGGGCGCGGGCCACTTTTATGGAAAGGCGGCATCGCGCGCGCCATTCCCAAACCCCATAAGTGCTTGGGAGAGGTCACCGGGTGGAGAAACATCCTTTTACAAGAACCGGCTGGCAAAGCGGTGGCCAGAGTGCTTCGCGAACCTCTGGAGAAGGCTTTTCGCGCGCAAGCGCGGGAAGGTACTGGAGGTGGCATCAAGGCGCGCCCGATGGAGCTGTCCAGTTTGATGGTCCGGCTTCACTTTAGCCGAGCCAAAGCAGCCGGACGTTCGGCTGCTGTGCTCTTCGTTGACGGGCAACAGGCCTTCTACTCCACGTTGCGAGAGTATCTGTGGGGTAGTCTGCAGCAAGAAGGGGGCCTTGAGCAGGCTGTCCAGCGGCTGTTGGATGGCATCCATGTGGACTCACAGATATGTGATAGAGCTAAACAGTTGCTATCCCAGCCGGGGCGATTGGTTGAACTGGGCGTTTCGTCCAGTTTGAACTATATTTTTCAGGCACAGCTGACTGGTACATGGTACTGCATGAACCCACAGGCCCAGCAGGTTGTGCAGTCCTTTACGGGAACGGGACCTGGCTCACCGCTGGCCGACATCCTGTTTCAGGTCGTTTTCGACATAAGTCTGCGCTCCCTTGAACAAAGCTTGCGGGAGGCCGGCATGCTGCAGTCACCTCTCACGAACGGAGGGGATATGCCTTCGCAGTCTTGGTGCCCATGTTACATCCCGACATGGGTTGACGACCTCGCAATTCTCATTGACGCCGACGCGCCAACAGAGCTAATGCATCGGCTTGATGCTGCCACTCGCGCGGCGCATGTGGCACTTGGGCTTGCCGGAATAGCAGTCAACCACTCCCCAAGAAAGACTGAGGCTGTCCTTGCAATGCGCGGAAAAGGGTCGCAAGAGGCTCGGCGTCAGGCTTGGGTGAGAGAAGCAGGTGTACACGAGGTAGAGGTTGCAGGACGCACGATCCGGTTGGTGTTGGCCAGTAGCTACCTTCATTTGGGCACGACAGTGTGTGCGTCTTCCACAGATGCTCCAGATTTGCGAAGTCGCGGTGAGACCGCGTGGGCTAAATTCCTTCCCGTGCGCAGGCGGGTCCTCACCAACCCTGAGTTAAGCATTTCCGAACGCGTGCAAGTTGTTGATTCGCTCGTACTCAACAGCCTCATGCACGGGGCCGGAGTTTGGACGCTAGCTACCAGCAACGAGCGTGAAATGCTGCATGCGGCTTACATGCGCATTATGCGCGGTTGCATGAAACCATTGTTGGGCGCCAGTGTCGTGGGTTTGACGGACCAGGACGTGTGCTCGGCCCTGTGCGTTCTGAACCCGGAAGAGAACCTGTGGCTGCATCGGGCACGACTCCTCATGCAGTTGGTTCGGTCTGACTGCTATGGCTTGTGGTTTGTTTCCGAGGCGGAAAGCTTCTGGCTCCACCAGGCTGGGCAGGCCTTGTACCGAGTATGCTACCCGCTGCTAGGTCAGCCGGCGACCAATGTGGAATGCGTGCGCGAGTTTCGGCCTTGTAGACATTGGATGCAGCAAGCCAAGCAGCATGCAGCAGCGCTGACGTCTGCGGTGCAAAGCTTCAGGGCGCGGATTCTTCGTGCGCGGCAGACAGCTTGCAGGGCAGTTCGCAGGAGAATCTTCATAGCCAGAAGTCAGTTGCAGGATGGAATTGTTGCCATCCGCATCCCAACTGGAGTCTGCAGACAGCATAGCAGCTCGTGGACATGCCCTGAATGCCACCAAATGTTCGCGAATGCAGCAGCAGGCGGTTCACACATGAGACACATGCATGCGAGGCCTGCGGTTGCTTCGGCTGCCGTGGGTACAGCGTGCCAATGCTGCTGCGTTGAGTTTTGGTCCACCAGACGCCTTAGGCAACACTTACGCCAACAGCCGTCGTGTGGCGTCTGCTATGCTGAGGCGGACCTTGGATGTGAGGCGCCGCATCCTGATGTCGATGATGGCTGGCGCCCGCCGAGTACGGTTGCTGGACCACGTCCATGGTGGGCTACTCTCCAGCCTACTGCCCGGTCTTCCGTTGCCCCACCCATGTCACTGCCTTTGCCGCCGTACGTTTGTCATTTTGCCAGGGCATGTCGGGATTGGGACTTTGAGAAAATTAGGCAATTTTCAGGAGCCACCTTAGTATGGAATACAAGAGTGGTTGCTGCTGAATATGGTCTTTACACTTGGCCGCTAGACATAATCGGGCGCCAGGACTGGGAGGCCATTTTTGGAACCCTGAGTGCTATTGTCGAGGCTCACTGTACAGGGACTTGCTTTGAGAGGCAGGTTCTTGGGCTACGCTTCTGGGCACGGGGTGACATTTTGCATGTTACAAGAGCCAGCGCATAGCGCGGCAGGACGAATTTGAGGCGCGACTTTCAGTCACATGCAGAGCCCGCTGAAACCCTAAACCCTAAACCCTAAACCCTAAACCCAGGTCGAAGAGCAGAGACTACAATGCCGGGTGGACGATTTGGTCGCGTCCGTCTTCCCAGTTCTGGTGGGCCGCACTTGACAAACCTGGCGGGGCTTGTAATACAGGGGTCGGAATTATTTTCTAGTAGTCTGCCCTTAAGGCCCCTTGAAAACTATACCTATACGACAATAACCCCCCCCCCACAAAAAAAGAAATCAAACAAAAAAAGCCGTACTCTAATTATTACGGCTCCTACTGTGTCTTGCAGAGGGTCTTGCAAGCTTCTTCACCCGAACTGCCGGTATCATTCGCACAGTTCTCTTTGGAACAGGGCGATGAAACCCTAAGCAAGAGATCCCTGTCATCAGACCCACAAGCCTATATCCCCCTTGGGAATTATTTCTATTTTGTTCATATAAAACCCAAGAGGATATTAAACATATTATTTTTCCCTATATCCCCCTTGGGAATTATTTCTATTTTTGTTCATATAAAACCCAAGAGGATATTAAACATATTATTTTCTTCAGGTTCTCAGGGGAGGTTTAGGGTTTAGGGTTTAGGGTTTAGGGTTTAGGGTTTAGGGAAGCTGGAAGCACGTTGCTTGAGCAGATCGGGCCACGCAACCGGAAGATCGGATCCCGGTCCCTGCACCTTCGCAGCGGGTGTGGGGTTTAGGGTTTAGGGTTTAGGGTTTAGGTTTTAGGGTTTAGGGTTTAGGGTTTAGGGTTTGGGATTTAGGGTTTAGGGTTTAAGGTTTGGGATTTAGGGTTTAGGGTTTAGGGTTTGGGGTTTGGGGTTTAGGGTTTAGGGTTGGGGAGTATTGATGCCCCGCGCAGCTCTGAACTCAAGGTTGCCCAGGCGCCCATGCAGGTGGCCGATTTTGTGCCCGAAGCTTCCCCCATCCCAACTCATCTCTTAAATGTGGGTTTAGGGTTTAGGGTTTAGGGCCATCTAACAACCCAAACCCCCTAAACCCTAAACCCTAAACCTTCAACCTACTGCAGCAAGCTCTCAACCTCGCAGCTCCCTGACTTTCAGAAAATAAAATCTCTTTCAACGCCATGGCGAAGAAGAAGCAGCGTGGCCCCGGCGCAGGGGGTGCTGGCGCCGTCGCACCGGAGCAGAATGGAGGCGAGTGGTTCTGCTGCTGTGGGGTGTGAACGGCTTTTTTTGTTAAGGGCTCATGTATTACGGTATATACTTGGGCAGAGAGCTACGAAAATGGAGCCCGTAGAAATGGCCCCAGCAGACACTATATCGGGACATTACCGCGTCGGCTGAGTGCCCCTCTACTGACGGTAGCTTGCTCATTTTAGCAAGTACTTCTGCTAGTAGTAGGGGCTTTAGGGACTTAGCCCTTACATGGTAGCGGGATATTCGGTGCCGAGTGAGTTCCATAAGGCCCTGGCAAGAACCAGCAAGGTCAGGGTTTAGGGTTTAGGGCTAGGGTTTAGGGTTTACGGTTTAGGGCTAGGGTTTAGGGTTTATAGGGTCTAGAACTCTGTCGGCCTGGCGGGGTCATGTTCAAGAGGTTGTAGCAACTTAGACTCAAGGTAGCCAAGAGCTGCCAGTTTCCTCATTCCTAGTCCCTAAACCCTAAACCCTAAACCCTAAACCCTAAACCCTAAACTGGTGTATAAACCATTTCTCAAGGTTATGGGCCCTTTCTAGGTGCTCTAAATATCAGGGGCCGCCTTTCTCACATGAGACAGGGGAGAGGCACTCCCATGCATTTAGGTTGTGGTTGTGTTGTGCGGTATCAGCGGTATGCTCTTCGACCGGCCTGGCCTGCTTGACACAGCTGCGAGCGACCCTAAACTTTGTCATAGTGAGGTAGCAGATTAAAAAAATAGGGGTACTTAAACCCAACAAGGAATTCCCAGCCATGAACTACTAATAATTGCTTAAGAACCCCCCCAAAAAAATGAAATCGTCTTTCTCCCTTATTAAGGGTAATAAAGGGAACATGATTTGTTTAGGCAAATAGTAGACAGGTAAACCCAAAACCTCAAAGCCCCACGTCCAGCGCAGGCGGGCTCAGCCAACAACTCCTCTCCTGCGCTGTGCAGCTGGGACATGCACCTGCCAAGCCCTAATCCCTCAAGCTCCGTCCGTTTTGACAAAGTCGGGGCTTGCTCGACTTGAAGGTTCATCCCTAAACCCTAAACCCTAAACCCTAAACCCTAAACCCTAAACCCTAAACCCTAAACCCTAAACCCTAAACCCTAAACCCTAAACCCTAAACCTAAACCCTGTTTTTTAATCCCAGGGCTCTCTTTGCCTCGAAGCCCTGGGCTCCCAAGAAAAGGACCTTTCAGAGCACCCAAAGGGATGCGAGGTTCTCGCCTAAGGCTTTGGGGGTTGGGGGTTTAGGGTTTGGGGTTGGGGGTTTAGGGTTTGGGGTTGGGGGTTTAGGGTTTGGAGTTGGCGGTTTGGGGTTTTGGGTTGGGGGTTTAGGGTTTGGGGTTGGGGGTTTGGTGTTTGAGGTTGGGGTTTAGGGGTTGGGGGTTTAGGGTTGGGGGTTTGGGGTTTGGGGTTGGGGGTTTAGGGTTTGGGGCTGGGGGTTTAGGGTTTGGGGTTTCGGGATGAGGGTTTACGTAGGGCCCTTGGGGTCTGGGCTACACGAGTTTTGCAGCAAGTATCGCCCGTGTCCTTCACAAGGCCAGGGCCCCCCCCCCCCTCTCCTAAACCCTAAACCCCTAAACCGTAAACCCTAAACCCTAAACCCTAGACCCTAAACCCTAAACCCTAAACCCTAAACCCTAAACCCTAAACCCTACCTTTTCAAGGAAGTCCGCACAGTGGCTGGCCGCCGCCCCCGGAAAGGCCGGATACGGATACTGCCATGCCTTCAGCCCTAAACCCCTAAGCCCGAACCCTAAACCCTAACCCTAAACCCTAAACCCCAAACCCTACAAGGCCTCCAGCCCTAGAAACCGTACACTCTAACCTTCAAACCCCAAAGACCTTGAGCTCCAAATCCGACTCCCTCAGGCTTGAGCCCTCACCCCAAAAAGCCGAAACCTAGGCCCAAAACCCTCAGAATCCTCAAACACAACCCTAAACCCTGAATCCACCTTGAACCTTAAACCCTAAGCCCGAAGCCCTCAACTCATCCTAAAGCTCTTGAACTCTTTAGTGGCTCGAAGAGATTGTTCGGGCGCGGGCTCCTTCCATTTTGACTTCGTAAGTAGGGTTAGTAAGGTGGGATAGGGAGGTTTTTAGTAGGATTGTAGGGGATACTAAGTAGACTTACTAAGGCAAAAGACCTGGTAAGTAGGTTGGAGGTTTAGGGCTTAGGGTGTGAAAGGGCTTAGGTTCTTTTCGGCACCAGTCACCTGTGGGTACCGACTGTGGTGACACCCTCCGAAGAACAAGCTCAAAACACACAGTAGCTCCCTAAATGGGCGTCGAATGTAACTTCTTCTTAAACCCCCAAGAATTCCTTACTCCTCTAAATCCTAAACCCGTATACCTACATCTTACGAAGCCCTATACGGGTAACCTGAGTGTAGTTTCATGAGCCCTACATATGGTCCCTAACCTCCTCTAAGGCGTTCCATGGGGTATGTAAGGGGTATATAAGGGGTCGCCTATTGTTAAGGGCCCCATGTAAACCTTGCTACGCCACAAAACCTAATTACACCCTAAACCCTAAACCCTAAACCCTAAACCCTGAACCCTGAACCCTGAACCCTGAACCCTGAACCCTGAATCCTGGACCCAATCCTACGTGAGGGCGACGCCGCGGTGACAGAGCGCCTCCTCTCCGCGGCCGCCTGTAGCACTTTAGGGTTTGGAGTTTGTTTAATTTAGGGTTTAGGGTTTATAGGGTTTAGGGTTTAGGGTTCAGGGTTCAGGGTTTAGGGTTTGGAGGGAAGGCGAGGACGAATCCAGCTTCAAAAAAGGGTTTGGAGAGGGGGGCTTGGGAGTTTAGCATGCTAGCCTGGAAGTTTAGACCCCAAACCCAAAACCCCGATGGTGTAGAATCACAACAACCCCCGTTTGGGGTGTAGGGTTAGGTTTGTGCTTGTTTTCCCTGCTCTGCTTTGATCTACTTCAGGCAGCTTTCCGCGTGGATATCAGCCGAGGTGAAGCCGATCATCTTCCTTCGCGCTGCCAAGTACGAGCTCTCTATTCTGCAAGTCGGTAGACGGTCGTCCCAAAGCCGTTGGCAGCTGGAATGACAACTTCAGGAACCTGTTAGATACGCTGCCGGAATATGGTCTTACTGCACAATTTTATTGCGTCTTCAAGCTTATAGCAGCTTGGCGTGCTTCCTGAACAGTAAGCCATTAAACTTTCGACGTCCTGATTCCCGGACCCTACTGGTTCTTAGTAGGGAGTTCGATGACTCTCTGTAGACATCGCTGTATAGTGATTTTTCATCGCACCCGGGCGAAGAATTAAGGTCAGAATATTCAAAAACCTCAACACCGCCAAGGCTAGATGCCCAAGCGTCCAAAGGTGGCGAGGCAAACGCACCCGGCATCTGGGCAGCAGCGACTCTCTCCTCGAAGCCATGAGCCTGAAACCCTAGCCCAATAAACCCCGCAGCTGCTTCGGGGTCTCGCCACAACCCCCAAACCCCTAAACCTCAAACCCCTAAACCCCAAATCCTATCCTCGATGACCCCACTCCACGTCCACAAGTCGGTGTGCTTTAGGGCTTAGGGTTTAGGGCTTGGGGTTTAGGGTTTCGGGTTCAGGCAAGGCGCTCCCCGCACGGAAGCGGCGACTGGAAGAGACGTCCTCTCCGAAGGCGCCTTCAGGCGGGCAAGCTGAGCACAGAGTGCCCCCGTGCCCAAAAAAGCACAAACGATTTAGAACCATTGATAGGCCCTTTGGGGTTTGTCTGCGATTTGCTTAAGAACAGAACCCCTCATGTTTTTTTTTGTTTCTTTCGGGGGGAGGGGGGGGGGGGGAGGGGTTCTTAAGCAGGTAGTAGTAGGTCCAGTGGTCCATCCGGCCATTTAGAGCGAGAAGTTGTCGGTGTAGAAGACCCCAGCTCTTGTTCTTCTAAACCCTAAACCCTAAACCCTAATACCTGACAGGGTTTGATCTAAATCCAGAGGCCCTTCCATGGCCCAAGCTCTAAGTTGGGTCCCTTTTTGGGGTTAAACCCTAAACCCAAAACCCTAAAGCCTAAACCCTAAACCGTAAACCCTGAGTTTAAGGGTGCCGTACAAGGAGTAGGGTACCCAACAGAGGGACCCTGCTGAGCGGTTCGACCAGCTCTGCGGGTGCCAACAAACCTTCAACCACCTTTTCAGAGAAACCCTAAAGCCTAGACCCTAGACCCTAGACCCTAAACCCTAAACCCTAAACCCTAAACCCTAAACCCTAAACCTAATCGCTAAAGTGGCGACAAAGATGTCAGGCGAGGATGTGGAGCAGGCGGTGGAGGCATTCAAGGCCCTGGCAGCGCAGCCAGAGCAGCACCTCGGCCGTTTTTCTTCTTCAAAGTACTCCTTAAGACATACACTGCTTTTCTGTAGCTTAGTATGATGTATGTAGTATATATATATATATATATGTGTGTGTGTGTATATGTACTATCTATCTATGTCTGGCTGTGTTTTTTTTTCAAGAATTGGTCCTACGTAGCTTCGTATGTAGAAGGAGCCCGTTGACGGGCTCTAGAATTGGGATTTCAGGCTGCCCTGCGGCCCTGCGGGGCAGGATTGGCTCACGGCCGCTCCTGCTCGGAAGACCAAATTCTAGGGCCCTTTAGGGGGGGGGGAGGTGGGTGTTCAAGGGGGGTACGTAAGCCAAGGTTCCCCCTAATATTCCCCACTACACCGTTAAGGCGCCCTAAGCTTCCCTTTAAAGGGTTCCGAGGGTGCCTCCCCTTTAAATACCTTAGAACAGAAAGGGAGGTAACATCGGGGGGTCTTTTAGGGTTTACAAGGGTTTAGGGTTTAGGGTTTATAGGGTTTAGGGTTTAGGGTATCCAAGACTTGGTGCATGGAAAGCACTTCGGGAGCTCTCGCCGGGTTTGAGGGATGAACCAAACGCAACGCTTACATCAGCTAAAGTTGGCCATGCCAGCCTCAGGCAACCCTAAACCCTAAACCCTAAACAGCTGACTCCGAGGCTTCTTGCGCCATCCTGCAAGCTTCTGCGTTCGGCCTTGCACCCGCTGGTGGAGGCTCTTGCAGGGTTTTAGGGTTTCGGGCTAAGAGTTTTGGGTTTGGGGTTCAGGGTTTTGGGCACAATAGTTTAGGGCCAAGGGCTTCTGAACGACTTCCTGGGAACCAATCTTGAAGTCTGACAATCACCGGCTGGAGCTTAGGCTGAGGGCTGCATGTTTACAGGCCCGGCTCTGATGACCACGTGTGTTCGAAGGGTTTAGAGGGTTTAGGGTTGCTATGGCAGGGCGCGGGTAACATGGAAACCAAGAGGCATCAACTCACGCAGACATGTGGTTCCATTTTGGCAAACAAGCGGCGGCGCCACACCAAAAAACCCTAAACCCTAAACCCTAAACCCTAAACCCTAAACCCTAAACCCTAAACCCTAAGCCCTAAGCCCTAAGCCCTAAGCCCTAAGCCCTAAGCCCTAAGCCCTAACCCCTAAACCCTAAACCCTAAACCCTAAACCCTAAACCCTAAACCCTACACCCTAAACCCTAAACCCTAAACCCAAACCCTAACCCTAAACCCTAAACCCTAAACCTAGAATTTGTTGGCTCCTTCGTCAGGCCTCAGAAGGGATTTAGGTTCTGCACTTCCCCCGCGCCCAAGGTACGCCTTAAAATCAACCCCTGGAGGCCCACAAGCGTGAGGAGAAAGCCTCACCCGCGTTTCGCAGCCCGGATGTTTGAAAGTGCCAGGGTTTAGGGTTTGGGGTTGAGGGTTTGGGGTTTGGGGTTTAGGGCTTAGGGCTTAGGATCGTTCGGTACCCTTGGCCAGTTCAGGCAGGTTGGTCCCCACATCAGTGCAAGCAACAACGGAACCTGCTTTCCTTGTCCCTAGGCGCTTTGCAGTGGACTCGATCAAAGTGTTTAGGGTTTAGGGTTTAGGGTTTAGGGTTAGGGTTTAGGGTGTAGGGTTTAGGGTTTTGGGTTTTGGTTTTAGGGTTGAGGGTTTATGGTTTAGGGTTTAGGGTTTGGGGTTTAAGTCTGCCCCCCGTTACCCTGCCAAACAAGATCACGTAGCTGCTCAGGAATCACTTGCATGCTGGGACAGAAGCGGCTTGGCGCCACCATGAGGGGCCGCGCCTTGAGGATCACCCTATACTACTAGGATCCCTCTGAAGCAATATGATTCCATAAGCCCTAAGCCCTATACCCTAGGCCCTAAACCCGAATCCCTATGAAGCAATATGAATCCATAAGCCCTACACCCTATGCCCTAGGCCCTAGACCCCTTTCAGGGTTCATTTGGTCCCCAGGGTGCCAATTCATCAGTGCATATCAGTTCGACAAGCTCCTTGTTGCGACCCTGTATGCCCACGACCTGTAAGCATGCCCATCCACTAAACCCGAAACCTTATAAAGCCTATGTAATAGGGTTCATGGGTACTTAAAAAGGCCAATTATAAGCTTACTTCTAATCTACTTATAGAGGACTCAGGGGGGCCATAGTTGGGGTTGCAAGTACCCTTTGAACCTCCAAGTAGCTAACCCTAAACCCTAAACCCTAAACCCTAAACCCTAAACCCTAAACCCTAAACCCTAAACCCTAAACCCTAAACCCTAACTGAGCATCACGTGCCAGCATGCGCCTGAGGCCCCGCTGGCCAGAAGCACAACGTGTCCTTGGTGAGCTGCGAAGCCTCGAGGTCCCTAGAAGCGCTACAAACCCCAAAACGCCTTAAACTGTTTAGGGTTTAGGGTTTTGGGTTTAGGGTTTAGGGTTTAGGATTTAGGGTTTAGGGTTTAGGGTTTAGGGTTTAGGGTTTAGGGTTTAAACCTTAAACGATCAAAACCCTAAAACCAAAGTCGCTAGTACTCAATCTAAAAGAATTAAGAATGTTTGAAAGGGCATAGAAAAATGGATGCCCAGGAGATCCTTACTCCTCCTAAGGGTCCATGTACCTGTACAGTAGGGTTTAGGGTTTTGGGGTTTGGGCTTAGGGTTGTATTTGGCCCTAAAGCTACTATATGGGAACACCTTTAAGGAGTTTAGACTACACAGGTCGATGTACCCTCAGGGCCCCTTATTATTATTTACTATTTGCTTCAGAACACCCAACAAAACATAGAAGACAATCCCTATATTGCCCAAATAATGAGAATACAATTATGCGGGCAAAATATAGGTCTTTTAGTATTAGCCCGCACGTCACGTCTTTCATTACGTTTCATACGTTCATACACCCCGGGCTTTAATTAATAATACATAATGAGCCCGGGATAGAAAGTTAGTACTACGAAGAGATTGCATTATTATTGAATTATAAGTGAGCGTGCGATCGCATGAATTCAATAATAGGGCAAGAACGAAGTATGAAGAGAATTTAATATTGAATTTATAAGGAATAGAATGACGCATTAAATTCAATAGGAAATGAACGTAATAATAGGGGCTTTTTCCCGGGCATATATTAAATAGGGGCCCGGGGCAATAAAATAATAGGGCCTTTCATAATATTATTTTGTAAGGACTTTTAGGACGCACGAAAATAATATTATTACTGGCCCGTGAAAAACCAAGGTTGACCGTGTACTCGCGAATCATTCTCTGAGTTCAACCGCCAGTCAAGGTACGTCCAACATTCCCCTTTCCTCACATCCTTCTTCTAATCTCACCGCCAGGCAAAGGACATCTTATTCATGCTGCGTTCAGTCATTACCAGCACGAATAATATGCTCTCTTCATTCTTGGCGGTCTTTTGCTCCCTTAAAAAGCCCATTCATGCGTCTTCTCTTCGTTCATCCTTATAATGCGGCTTTTCCAGGAGCTAGACCGCTATCATCCTGTACTGCGTTCGTACACTCATTGCGCTCACTCAGTACATTCGTTCCCTTATTCGTTTCTCTCTTCGTAGTTCCAGCCCGGATGATTGGTTAACGGGGGAACAGTACTAACAATAAGGTTAAGGTTGCGTTCACTAAAAGAGAAGACAATCCCTATATTGCCCAAATAAGCAAGAATAAATACATCAATAAGTATATATATATATATATGTTGTTTTCCTGGGGGGGTGTCATGAAGCAAATAGGAGTTACAAGGTGAGGATTCTTCATTAACCCCATTCCGCCGAAAAGGGGCACCTCTTGCCATTCTTAGGCTACTGGGCACGCTGGTGTTGAAAGAGAGGAAATGTTACCAACATTTTCCCCTAATAGCCCAAAGTTCTAGGGAAACTAACCCCCGCTCCCCAACAAAACAAGATGTCGATTCTTTGTGAAATAAGCCTCCTAACCCCTAAGCCTAAACCCTAAACCTCACACTAGAGTCTATAGACCGAGAAACCCTCCAAATTCTGCAGGCTGCCAAGCGGCCCAAGTTAGGAGCCTACCAACGATGGGCCACCTGTCTTCATTGAAAGTGGCCTTCCTAAACCCTAAACCCTAAACCCTAATAGTGTTTAGGTTTAGGGGTGAGGCTAGGCTGAGGCCTTTGGACTTGGGTGGGGTTCCAGGGTATTTTAGCGACAAGGGTCTTGAGTTTAGGGTCCCGTCTTTCGGTTCAATTAGCAAATCCTTTCTTAGGGTTTAGGGTTTAGGGTTTAGGGTTTAGGGTTTAGGGTTTAGGGTTTAGGGTTTAGGGTTTAGGGTTTGGGGCAGCTGTCAGAAAATCATCATGTCTGAGAGCGCTGCCCTGATGCAAATTCCCATTGTGCCTACACCCGACCCCCCCAAACCCTGGAAGCCCTAAACCCTAAACCCTAAACCCTAAACCCTAAACCCTACAGAAACCCTAAACCCTAAACCCTAAACCCTAAACCCTAAACCCTAAACCCTAAACCCTAAACCCTAAACCCTAAACCCTAAACCCTAAGCCCTGTGCTTAGCCCGAGCTCCGTGTTGTCTTGCAAAGCCTTAAAGCGCCATCATTGTTTAACGAAAGGCTCGGTTTGAACCTTGATATGACCTCGACATCAAAAGCGAAAGGTTTGTTTATCAACCTGGTGCGCCTACAACGTCAAAACGTCAGTTGTTGTGTAAACCCTAGTGTGTCCTCAACTTCAAAAACGAAAGGATCTTTGTGAACCTTGGTGTGCACCCATCCTCAAAAACGAAAGCATTTTGTAAACACGTTTAAGCGAAAGGGTTGTTTGTAACCCCTAGCAAAGGACTTTTGTCAGCCCTAGCGTGCCCTCAACCTCAAAAACGAAAGCTCCTTTCAAATATTCAAATCTCTCAAAATCCTAAAAACCTAGGGGGGTAGGCGCTGAGGAGCTTGGGAGCTTATAGTTAGGGGTTTAGGTTTCTGGGTTTCGGAGCCTAGGAGCTTAGGGTTTATAGGGTTTGATTTAAGGTTTATGGGTTTGGGGGGTAGGCGCTTAGGCGCTGAGGAGCTTAGGAGGGTTTAAGGATTTAGGGGTAGGCGCTTAGGCGCTTAGGACCTCAGGAGCTTAGGGTTTAGGGTTTAAGGGTTTAGGTGGTAGGCGCTGAGGAGCTTAGGGAGCTTTGGAGCTTAGGGTTTGTGGATCTAGGGGGCAGGCGCTTAGGAGCTAAGGAGCTTAGGGTTTAAGGTTTAAGGGTTTAAGGGGTAGGCGCTTAGGCGCTAAGGAGCCTAGGAGCTTAGGAGCTTAGGGTTTAGGGTTTAAGGATTAAGGGGCAGGTGCTGGGCCTCCCCGCCTTTTAACTTTGAAAAAACCCTAAAACCCTCAAAATCTAGAAGGCCCGGGCTTTCAAGATTTTAAGGGCTTTAAGGAAATCATGAAATTTAAAAGGGGGTCCCTGGGTCCCGGCTCCTAAGCTCTTAAGGTCCTGAGCGCCTAAGCGCCTACCCCCTAAACCCTTATAGACCTTAAACCCTAAAACCTAGGCTCCTAAGCTCCTAAGCGCCTAGGCGCTTTAGCGCCTACCCCCTAATCCCTTAAACCCTAAACCCTAAACCATCAACTCCTAAGCTCTTAAGCTCCTGAGCGCCTAAGCGCCTAAACCGTAAACCCTAAGCTCCTAAGCTCCTAAGCGCCTAAGCGCCCACCCCCTAAACCCTGATACCCCGGGACCCCTTTTTATCTTTAAAAAAACTTGCCTGCTTCTCTGCTGAAGATGATGGGGGATGATGGGGTATGATGAGGATGATGGGGGATGATGCGGGATGATGGGGGATGATGGGGGATGATGGGGGATGATGGTGAATAAATACTTTAAAACAATCGAAAGAATTTTAAAAAATTCATTGGCGGTGGCGTGTGCAGGCGTCCAGCCAGCTCATTCTTTAAAATCCTTAAAATTTAAGTGGCCGGCCAATTAAAATTTAAGGGTTTTAAAGAATGTTTAGGCCTTGTAAATTCTTTAAAATCCTTAAAGTTTAATTGGCCGGCCAATTAAAATTTAAGGATTTTAAAGAATTTAAAGAATTCATAAATTAGGGATAATTTAGGAAGTTAAGGAATTTAAAGAATTTGGGCATCTTTAGATTCGTTAAATTCCTTAGATTCCTAAATTAATTTAAATTCGTTCTGTGCCCAAATACAAAATTTTAATTTAAACTTTTAAACTTTTGGCAAAATTTGGTTAAATCGGGCTGCTCTTTGTATGTGATGAGAAAGGCGCGGCTCGATTTGGCCAAATTTTGCCGGTGATGGCCGAGGTACGGGAGCTCGACGTGGCCGAAGGCGCCGTTGTGCTGCTCAGAATGTCGTGGGGTGACACAACCTTGGGGACGGTTTAGGGTTTAGGGTTGAGGGTTGAGGGTTGAGGGTTTAGGGTTTAGGGTTTAGGTTTAGGGCCACATGAACCCCAAAGTAGCTTGGTCGTATTCCCGATTTTATTTTCATCCCTATTATGGTACTATGAACCATAAATCCTTTTCGGGGTTCATGTCGTCCCCAAGGCAAGGGCGCAGAATGTCGACGCAAAGCTTGTGGCATTGACCTCAAAACAAGTGCTTGGCATGAAAGTGTTACAAGAAGGGGCCTCCTATAGTTCGAGTAGAGTTATAAGGGCCCTAAATTGGGTTATAAGGATCCTCTCTTAGTTCATAGTCGTTTAGGGTTTATAAGGTTTAGTAGGGTTTAGGGTTTATAAGGTTTAGAGCTTAGGGTTTGCAAAGTTCAGGTTGTAGCGTTTATAAGGCTTAGGGTTGAGGGTTGCGGTTCAGGGTTTAGGGGCATCGCTCAGCCAAGCCAGACTTTGAGCCACTGTGCTGGCTGCCAGGCGACCCCACGGAGCTTCTCATGCTCGACGCCGCAACTAGGCGAAAACCCCACAAAACCCAGACCCATACGAAACAGTGTCTATATGACTGCTGTTGGTGCGTGTACTCAGGGTTCCCTAGAAGCAATAGGTGAGCGTATATACTGGTGTCCTTTTTGGGGAATACTAGCAAGATGATAACCCTAAAACCTAAACCCTACTTCATACGGTACCCCTTAGGGGATCCTGCTCTCAGACGGTTCCTACATTTAGGGCGCACCCGAAAGGGATGATAACATAGAGGCCTGACCATGTGCCCCTTGATCTGGTCCCCAATGGCCCACGATTACGTAAACACGGGAGGAAGGCACAATAGTACGCCATCACCGACTTTCCCTCCTAAACCCTAAACCGTAGACCCCAAACCCCAAACCCCAAACCCCAAACCCCAAACCCCAAACCCCAAACCCCAAACCCCAAACCCCAAACCCCAAACCCCAAACCCCAAACCCCAAACCCCAAACCCCAAACCCCAAACCCCAAACCCCAAACCCCAAACCCCAAACCCCAAACCCCAAACCTTGACCTCCCGAAGCCTGAAGGCTGAATCCTAGTCGAAGCCCTAAACCCAAAACCCTAAACCCTACACCCTAAACCTACACCCTACACCCTAAACCCTAGACCCGAAACCCTAAACCCTAAACCCTAAACCCTGAGGGTCATGGGCCTTAGGGCCGAGGTGATGCGGGTGGCCGCGGGGCTCGGACCGGCGGACTCGAGACCTTCTGAGGGGCGCCTCTGCCCCGCTCTCAGAGAGTTTTTAGGGTTTAGGGTTTAGGGTTTAGGGTTTAGGGTTTAGGGTTTAGGGTTTAGGGGAGTTCAGGTTTAGGGTTTAGGGTTTAGAGGAGTTTAGGGTTTAGGGGAGTTCGGGGTTAAGGGTTTAGGGCTTCGAGGAGTTTACGGTTTAGGGTTGAGGGTTTAGGGCTTGGGATTTAGTCCCCAGCCCAGTTGCAAAAAGGGCTTGGGGTTTTATCGGTTTAGGGGGCGTGGTCAGAGATTTGTCAGTGTTTAGGGGACACGAGGCCAGGTCTCGGAGAGCTTTCAGCGTTTCGGGAACGTGGGTGCCAGGATCTTTAGGTTTAGGGGGTTAGGTTTAGGGCTTAGGGTTTGGGCTTCAGGGCTTAGGGTTTACGAGCCTGATTGTGGTTGCAGTGAAGATGCTTCAGCCAGGGATGTTGGGACTTGATCTGCTAGCGGCAGGGAGTTTGGTTGCACATAGATCTCGGGCCGAGGCCCAGATGCAACAGAAAGGGTTTAGGGCATACTGAGAAGCTCTTTTGACCTACGTAGTTAGTCTACTTAGTATCCCGCCTAGAGCCCCGACTGTAATCTGCATACCCCAGCTTACTAACCCTTTGGGATGTGCCCCCTTGTACCAGCAGTGCTTAATAGGGATTATAATAGCGGGTAGGTACTATACTCCCTGTTAAGGACTGTTAGCATAAGGGCCCAAGCCATAACCCACCATACTAACCACTTACTCAGTCCAAAAAGGGCTTTCCAAGTGTAGGGGTTGCCGACTCCATGTGCTGAGCTCTATAGGGCTGCGAGGCAAAACTCTTCGTGCAGGCTGTTCTTCTAAGGGTAGTTGCCTGGTCCCTTGGTATGGTCACTTAGGTTTTGAAGTGTGGTGCCTTGGGGTTTATGGGATGTATGAGGGGTATCTAAGGGCCCATAGTTCAATCCCTAGACCAAGGCAAAAACAAAAACCTAAACTCAAACCCCTACAAACCTGTGGTCTGTTCAGGTGTCCAGGCCCGGCCCACTAAACCCTAAACCCTAAACCCTAAGCCCTAAACTCAAGGCTTAGGCCGCCCCCCTCGCTCGACCTCGATGGCGCAAGCCGACCAGTCGTTCGCCCGCTTCCAACAGCTCGGAGGTCGGTAGCACCCACGATGGGCCCGGTACCGCCTGAGGATCAGTACTGGCCCTTGCAACTTCTCACCCCCTGCTCAAAAACCGTTTTTTTGTACCGGTTCTGCCTGGCCCCCCCTAACCCCCCCTTGCCCCTGTTTGTCGCCCCCCCCCCCCCCAACCCCGCAGTGGGAGAAAAGTGTTAGATGGCCCTCCACAATCAAGCTTTCGAGCTTGTTCTGAAACCTAACCTTCACAGCATCTACGCCCTATCACGGCAAACCCTAAACCTAAACCCTAAATCCCCCTTTGCCATGAACAGCTCAGTCGCCAGGTCTAGTACCGCCCTGGCGGCCGGACCTGCCAGAAGCTCCAGAGGAGGGCACCGCCATCCCCGGATCCCCCTCTCTCAAACTTTATAGGGTTTAGGGTTTAGGGTTTAGGGTTTGTTTAGGGTTTGGGGTTTGGGGTTGGGGGTTGGGGGTTGGGGGTTTGGGGTTTATTTAGGGTTTAGGGTAGGTAGAAGGGTTTGGGGTAAAAGTGTAAAAGGGAACAAGTGGGAAAAGGGTAAAAGGGTATTAGAAAGGGTTTAGGATTCGCAGGGCTTTCGGTCGCCACGAGTGCCAGGTCTGAGAGTGTTGCTAGACCTTTCCGGCTAGGACATCATAGCCCGGATGCAAAACCCTAAGCCCTAAACCCTAAACCCTAAACCCTAAACCCTAAACGCCTAGGGTTTAGGGCTCCAGTGTTTGCTTTTGGCACCTGAGGCCGGTGTCTCAGCAGTCCTGGGTTGAAAAGGTTGTAGGGCTTAGGGTCTACCAGGTAGGCCCTTGAAAACATCTCATACTTTCCCTTATTTTGGGTTTAAGAGGATCATCTTCAGGAATATTTTTCAGAGGGTGTTAAGGGTTATCCTAGAGGAGTATAAAACTTTAAACCCTTAATTGGGGTCGGGGTGGTGGCCCCCTGGCTGTTTTTTTTACGTTCAGGAGCACAATACTTCTATTTGCTAAGAACCCCCCCCCCCCCCCCCCGAAAAATTAAAAAAGCAACATTCTTCCTTGTAAGGGCAATATAGGGATTAATAGTCCATTTTTTTCGGGGGGGTTCTGAAGCATATAGTAGATTGTCATAGGCCTCTGCTTGGGCTTCTTGTGGCTGTTGCTTTGCCATTGTTACTTGCCACAGCAGTCATAGCACATTTAGTTGTGGCTTCCTTGTCTTAGATTTCCTGGAGCCTATCTTCATCCCCAAAATTCATCTTGCAGACCCCATATAAACCCTGAACCCTAAACCCTAAACCCTAAAAACCCTCAGCCCCTACCCCTAAACAGCCTAAGCCCACAACGCCTAACCTCCAGCCCTAGAGTCCCTGATCCGTCGCATAGGATCCGCCCAGTCCCAAGCCGCAGCCTGCCGAAAGCACTGCGACCTCGGTTGCGATCTTCATCTGCAAAGTTTGGGTTTTGGGTTCAGGGTTTAGGGTTCAGGGTTTAGGGTTTAGGGTTTAGGGTTTAGGGCACTTGGAAGCCCGTTTTAACTTAGTAAGTAGGGCAAATAAGGTGGGTTACGGAGGTTATAATATGGTCCGTTGCAAAGGAGGTTCTAGGAGGTACTAAGTAGACTTATTAAGTGTGTAGGAGCAGGGTTTCAGGGCTAAGGAGTTGGGATGTTCCCCCTTATAATCGCAGTCCTTAAAAGGGAGTCTAATAAGGGGGTACTATCATCCCTATGAAGGACTGTTGGTATAAGGGGCAACATCCCTAAGGAGGGTTTCGGGTTTCAGGTATTTTGACAAGACCCTGCGAACTTGGATATCAAACTCAAGCCTTCGGTATGAGCCCGGTGCCCTTGTCTTTTCCTCTAACCTTGCGTTCTTCACGCACTGTCACGCACCATGTTGTTTGAACATGGGCTTATATAGAAGTGAGATGTGAGGTGGTCAAAAGAATCCAGAGCCCTACTTCCGTTTCCAAGAAGCACCCAAAGGGTCCATGTACCTATATGGTATATACTTGGGCCCTAAAGGAGTTCCCATATAGTAGCTTTAGGGCCCAAGTATATACCATATGGGTACATGGACCCTTAGGGACACAGAATCCATCACGAGGGCCCTTTCCTATTGGCTTTGCCTGGTCTCTTTCAGTTTCATCCCCATCCTCATCCCACCCAAAACCCTAAACCCCAAACCCTAAACCCCAAACCCTAAACCCTAAAGCCTATAACCCTAAACCCCATCCTCATCCCATCCTTTGCTATCCAGGAACAAGCTGTTGAACCTCATCTCCTTGCGTGACTCAGCTGTCATCGGCATATCATCTTAAAACAGGCATGGGATGCTCGCTGTCGTATTCGCGGCTGCGGCCAAGGCTTGCAAAGTCCCTTGTTGAAGCCGTTTTGGGATTGCGGGGGGGGCTGGTCGCTCACTGTTCTCGTGGTTCCCACCTGTCCAGCGCCACTTCGGATCTCAAGTTGCTCTGGCCCAAGCCCTTGTACAGAATCCATGCCCGTGCAGGCAACGCCTCGAAGTGCCCTGAAGCTACTGATCTTGAGCTTCACATGTGGGCTGTTTTTTCAAGGCAGGGTCCTGAGACTCATCTTCCTGGCCTTCGCATGTGGGTGTTACCGGGCTTGGACCGCAGCATGCACGTCTTCGAGGTGCTTCGCAGCAGGGAGGCGAGGAGCTGATCTACGATACGCCATCCTGGGCGCAGAGCCCTTCGAGCCGAAGGCCTCGAGCCTCTTAGAGTTACAGCTCCCGGAGTGCGAAGGGTTCTGGAAAGCCGTGACCGTGTTCAATGCCGCCTGCTGGGGCGTGTCTTACATCAGCTCCAAAGTTGGCATCGATGCCCTCGCGGCCGCGGGCGTGGAGGATGCCCCGATCGTCTTCGGCGCGCTGCGCTTCGGCCTCGCGGCCGTGCCGCTGCTTCCCTGGCTGCCCCGCTCGAGCGCGCTGGAGAGCGCGAGGGCCAGCGCCATCGTCGGGAGCCTGAACGGGCTGTCCTATGCGGCCGTCTTCTCCTCGCATCTAGGCAGGCCTTTCTGGGACATTTCTCGATTTTCAGGAATATTTTTTCAGTGGGTTTTAAGGGCCATCCGAGAGGAGGAGTAGAAACCCTAAACCACCCTAAAACCCTAAAACCCTAAACCCTAAACCCTAAACCCTAAACCCTAAACCCTAAACCCTAAACCCTTACTTACAAGGGCCATCCCCAGGTATTCTTATGGCACCAGCGGAGGTAAGGCTGCCTTCATCGTCTCCCTGCAGGCACTGGTGGTGGCCGCGTGCACGTCTCTTGCGACCAAGCGGCTTCAGGTGAGCAACTCGTCAGGGTTTAGGGTTTAGGGTTTGGGGTTTGGGGTTTAGGGTTTAGGGTTTAGGGTTTAGGGTCTAGGGTTTGGGGTTTAGGGTTTGGGGTTTAGGGCTTGGGTTTAGGGTTTGGGGTTCTAGGGCGGTTCAACCTTCCGGGAACTCCCCCCCGGCAGCTTAAGCGCGTACAACATGAGCCAGGAAGCTACTATTTTGCTTAAGAGAACCCCCAAAAAAGAGTGAAAAAACATATAAGTGCGTACAACATGAGCCAGGAAGCTACGATCTTGCTTCCTTACAAGTGCGAGGTCGGGATGATTATTTTACACTTTTGGGTTCACCAGCCCTTGTCAGGGCAACAAAGGGAGAATTGTTTTGGCACTTTTTTTTTTTTTTTGGGGGGGGGGGGGGTTCTTAAGCAACTTGGCAGAGTAAGGTACGGTAGTCTCTGCCATCCTGGCGGTGGTTGGCGTGGGTTTCCTGGAGCTTTCTGGAGGGCCGCTGGAGACATCCTTCGGCACCTTGCACGCCTTTGAGGTCCACGCAGCCCTAAACCCTAAACCCTAAACCCTAAACCCTAAACCCTAAACCCTGTTCTTGAAAGAGCTCCAGTATCCCAGAACCTAATACATCAGCTCCTGGGACCCAGAGTAGGCCCTTATTCCTTTTTTTTAGGGTTTGGATTCCCGTATCACCCCCTTTAAACCAAAAAGGGCATCCTTTTTTCTTCTAGGTTACTCTTCAAGTCTAGGCACTTGATTCCTTAACCCTAAGGTCGGTTAGGAAGGTCCTGTCATGTCTTCACCTGAGGTGACTTGCTTTGCTCAGCAGCGCCACTTGCTGTAGGAATTGGATGGTATATCTTGGGCAACACCATGAAAAAGTACCCAGACGACACCTTGCCTTCCTTGGCTATTCAATTTACATGCTTTACTGTCCTCTTTGTGACGTGGACCTTGGTGGACGTTGCGTTGACGCGCGGGCCATCTGGCATAGTGGACTGGCTGGGTCAGGCCCCTTCGATGTTGCAGACCCCTGGCCGCTTGTCCGACATGGCGGCTGGGCGGGTAAGTGCCTCCCCTCCTCCCCACCCGAAAAAGTAGAATGTAGGTATTTATTGCACATACTCCGCAAGCGGCGTCTAAGCCCGAAACCCGTGGCAAAGACATGGACGCTGCGCCACTGTGGCACAGCTTAGGGTGTAAGAAGGTTTGAGGGTCAAGTCAGGCGGGGGGGTCATTCTGAATGTTTCTTGAAGATTTGCCCATTCGCCCCCTCCAATGCTGTTGGGGAGAATTGCCATTGCTGTTTCGGATTGGCGGCAGCATGTGTGTTTTAAGAATTATGCTGAGTCTATGGTTGCATCAATGTGTTGTGCCTAGTTTTTCGTAAGCGTGCCCTATGTGTGCATCAGTGTGCTTGGCACTTTCATCGATTCGCTTCCGTACGTATCACCTCCAATGTTGAGCCCAAACAAAGCAGGCAGCTCCCCAAAATCCTTCCCCCTCCCCTCCCCCGATCCATTCCCATCCTAAACCCTAAAAACCTGAACCCTAAACCCTAAACCCTAAAACGTGAAACCTGAACCTAAGCCTTTTGAGGCCTCCTGGCCCCCCTCCTGTTCTCGACCTTTCTGGGCAACGTCTTGACGATGCTTCTGGCCAACAGGGCCGTGCAATTCGTCAAGGTCTCCGAGGCAGGTAACTCTTTGCCAGGGGCCGTTGTTTGGAAAATTCTTTGTGACTTCAGTTGGTTACACAAATCAGATAAGGTTAGTGGAGCTGGAGAGTTCATGCAACTTACCAAGTCGTTGACGTTGGGGGGCGGGGGGCATTTATCATTACCCTGGCCTGCACCCGACCCTAACGGCAAAACCAAGAATGTGACTGGGGCAACCTTCAGAAGTTATGCGACGCACAAGCCAGATATTTAGGGTTTAGCGTTAGGGTTTAGGGTTTAGGGTTTAGGGTTTAGGGTTTAGGGTTTAGGGTTTAGGGTTTAGGGTTTAGGGTTTAGGGTTTGAGACAAGCCTGTGCAAAAGGGTTTAGGGTTTAGGGTTTAGGGTTTAGGGGGCATAGAAAAGCAGGAGGATCCCAGCAGCAAAGTCCACGTCAGTAAGCCCCGCAACCTTCGGACCTTCCCGGCAAGCCTCGGCCCCCAAAAAGCCCTAACCCGAAACCCTTTAAGCACGCCGAAATCTAGAAAACCTTGAGCCGTAAGCCGTAAACCCTAAACTAAACCCTAAACCCTAGAACCCTCCGCCAGGTCTCCTTGATTGTGGCTTCTGTGAGGGCCTCAGAACAAAGCAGCCAGATCACGGCAGGCCCAGTTAGGTGAGTTCCGCGGTTAAGGGTTTAGGGTTTAGGCAAGGGGTCCATGTAGGGACAGCAGTTAACTTTGTGAATGCGATGAAAGCTATAGCATAGCCATCAGGACGATGACAAGGACAACAAGATCAATCAGGGCAATAACACCCGTAACAACAGTAGTTGCAATACTAACAATACGAAGACTAAACGACATGGCAATACGAAACATATTCAAGGTAACAGCAATGCAGAATCTTGAACACATAGATTTTTGCACTATATACAGAAGATGCTTTGGAGCCCTAACCCTAAACCCTAAACCCGAAAACGTTGGATTGTCTTCTGAACAGGAGCCCCTTTGGGCTGCGCTCGCTGCGGTGCTCTACCTGGGGGACGTGTTCACGATTGGCGACTGCATAGGTGGGGTTTAGGGTTTAGGGTTTAGGGTTGGGGTTTGGGGTTTAGGGTTTAGGGTTTGGGGTTTAGGGTTTAGGGTTTGGGGTTTAGGGTTTGGGGTTTAGGGTTTAGGAGAGTCAGGGCTCAGAGTTCACAAGGTGGCGGCTTCATCATCGCCGGCCTACTTTGCAACGAGCACCTGGACGGCACACCCTTCACGTGCCAGAAGCAAGGTTCAAGCAATGCCATGATTGCCTTGGGTGTAGTTTTTGTACAGCCTAAACCCTATAAACCCTAAACCCTAAACCCTAAACCCCGTCACCTGGAATTGCTTTCAGGCTTTGGGAGGATGAGGGGGATGAGCGAAAGCCAGTGCCTGGCGCCGCTCAGCGCAGCTGCCCAAGATCTGATGCACTGGCGATGCCCATGAGGAGTGTGCTGCACGACATGCTGACTGCAGAGCCTAATACAGGAGTCGGAATAATTGCGAATACTATTCCCTTATGGTCCCTTTGTCATACTACCATAATTACTCCCCCCAAAAGCCTATTCTAATTCTTCATGCCCCTATATGCAGAGAGAAGTCAGGAGACCTGGAGCTCGTGACCTGAATGTGCCCCAGGCTGGAGATTGCTGATACTGATAGGTGCTTTGATGCTTTGGAGATTCGCCCGATGCGCTCATGTCATTCGTTGGTCTACTTCGCTGACAAAGAATCAAGTTTAGGGTTTAGGGTTTAGGGGTTAGGGGTTTAGGGTTTAGGGTTTAGGGTACCGTTACAGATAGCAAAGGATGAGAGGCAAGGTCAACAATGAAGGTAGTTGATAAGATGGTAAGCTGAAAAGATAAGTCATAAGTGATGGTACTACTTTTCGCTCGTTTTTCCATTGTGCAAGTATTAAGACCTGTTTGTACAGATAGTGGGTGCTCGGCCACATTCTCTTCCGACGTGTTGCCAACGAGCGCACGTGCATGTTTGGCCACCACCTGTCTCAAGTATTCGCAGCCAGCGTGCCCCTAAACCCTAAACTCTAAACCGTAATCCCTAAACGGCAAGCTGGTCGAAGTGGTGCAGCGAGAAGGGGAAAAAGAACAGGGCGAACAACAGAAGCGGCGATCATCACACGATACATGCCTCCAGCTTCTTGCCGATCCCATCGAGTGCCATCATGAAGCGTCGCTTGAGCCGTCCTCTCGTAAAATCACCCTAAACCCTAAACCCCTAAACCCCTTAACCCCTTAACCCCTACACCCCAAACCCTTGCGGACAATGGGTGGGTCCAAGGCATGTCTCATGCAGACCCTGAGGCAAAGTCAAAGGCGAAGCTGATGGTAAGGCAGCCAGTACATCTTTCAGGCGCACTCCGGGGCGGGGGGGGGGTTAGGGTTTAGGGTTTAGGGTTTAAAGGGTTTAGGGTTTAGGGTCTATATGTCTAAAGCCTAAGCCCCTACCTACAGGGCAAATTCTAGACAACCCGAAACGCGAAACCCTGATGCTACTGCTTCTGATTCTGTCTGCTGCATTGCCGGCCTGTTCTCCAGGCCAAGGGCCAAAACTGCCCCAGCTACCTTGCAGAATTTAGGGCCAAGGAATGTCGGGTTAAGGGTTTATAGGGTTTAGGGTTTAAGGTGGCAGTCTTCAGGCCCTATTCACTAGCACAGTTGCCCCCACCCCCACAAAAATCATCCGGCACAACCCGCAGCCGCAAACCATAAAAGCGGTTTAGGGTTTAGGGTTTAGGGTTTTTTAGGGTTTAGGGTTTAGGCCACCACCGTAAATTGTTACCTGGAGGATCGGGGGACTTAGTAAGTAGTTATTACGAAGCGTGAGTAAGTAAGATGACCCCAATTAGTAGGGCCCCTGTTTGGGTTCTCATAGCTCTACGTTGTTCCTGCTTGCTAAGTCCGTCGGTCCTCCAAGAAGTACGGCTCTTAAATGCTCCTGGCTTGTCTCAAAGTAATCAAGGTGTACCCCAAATTTACCGCCCAAGATATCGTAATCCGTACAAGAACACCCAACAGTGACAAACCCTGAGCCCTAACCCCCCCCCTGGTTCAGGATATCCCGACATGTCTACCTTAATCCATATCAGTGCCCGAGAAGGCTGAGACTCGAAACTCCAGGACCCCCTACAGTTTAGGGATACGCCCGTTTCTTCGGTGGACTCCGGTTAGCCCGGGATCATGAAAGTTGTTTTGGGTTCCCGCCCTAAACCCTAAACCCTAAACCCTAAACCCTAAACCCTAAACCGCTGCTAAGCAGGCCGGGGGACTGGCGCATCCTGGCCCACGAAGCAGCGGCCGACCGCCTGCCACCGAACCGCTATGACCTGGACATCTTCATTTGTCCCTTACTCAGGGTTTAGGGTTTCGGGCTTAGGGTTTAGGATTTTAGTTGTTCATGTTTGCTTCACGTGTGGGGTGGCTCCTGGGGAATTGGGGACTGGTTCATGTCAGTAAATTGCAGTGCCAACCCTGACCCCTAAACCCTAAACCCTAAACCCTAAACCCCAAACCCTAAACCCTAAACCCTAAACCCTAAGCCCTAAACCCTAAACCCTTCGCTCCCTAAACTTTGGAGAGCTGCCTGGAGGTCCACCCAGCGCGCTGCAGCTTTCGGTGCGCCCGCCGCGTCCGACGCAGCGCCACGAGCTCCCAGGCGGGCGATAGTCTTTCAGAGATCATGCATGTAGTTTTTTTAAGTTTTCTGTTGGCGTCTGGTATGTGCGACGGAGCTGTATTTCAACTAGGGCTTCACAAGGGACGGTATAGACCCGACCACATCGAGTCTTGAAAGATCTGTGGCTTACCAGGGTTGTGCTTTGGGGCTTAGGGTTCGAAAGGGTTTAGGGTTTAGGGTTGAGGGTTAGGCCGGGCTTTGTCGAAACCGTAAACCCTAAACCCTACACCCTACACCCTAAACCCTAAACCCTAAACAAACCCTAAACCCTAAAAAATAAAATCTATGCCCAGGAGTTCCGGGCGCTTTCGTGCTGTCCGATGTCCTCGCTCCCCAGGACATCTGGGACACTCTGTGGTTCTCGACCACGGGTTTCATGTAAGCTTTAGGGTTTAGGGTTTAGGATTTAGGGTTGAGGGTTCAGGGTTTAGGGTTCAGGGTTGTGTATAGCAGGGGCTTTGCACTTCTACCGAACCTCTGAACCCTGAGCCGTTGAACCGCTCAATGCTTCTGGATTCTTGCTTCTTGGAGGAGTGCCACATGCTGAGGCAAGCCACAGAAGCCATGGGAGCCTTTGGCGCATACTTATGTGTTTGGAGGGCATCTTGGCGATCGAGCTGCGCAGGGAGTTGCGCTGCATGTAGGGGGCCCCCTAGGGTTATCAGTAGTACTATGTAGGTTATAACTCCCTTAACTAAGGTTAGTATAGTAAGGGGGGCCCCTCTACTTGTGGGGAGGAACATGCAGAGTATTCTTGTCCGGAGTGTGTAGTCACGCGTTCTAGCAGCTCGTCTGATTCAACATGTCGTGATGCTGCGGCCGAGGATATAGACCTGATGTGCCCCTGTCTTCTGCACTGGATGAGCGTGCACACAATGTCGTGCTCATGGCCAACGCGCCCAGACTGTGCAAGACGTGATTCGGGGAGAATCTGTTTTGGTCTGAGGAAGAGAGGGATGGAGGCAGAGGCTGCCTAAACCCTAAACCCTAAACCCTAAACCCTAAACCCGCTGTCGAGCCAAAAGGATAACCTCACGTAGATCTGTCAGTCGCCCAGGACGCCCAAAATGCGGCGCTGCTCCTTGCCTGGACGTTGAACTTCGACTGCCATCCATAATATCATATATCTGACATTGTTTTTTTGCGAGATTCAGGGTTCAATTCTACTAACTAGAGTGTACATCTATGTTGGTTCACTCCATAGCACATAGCACGGTACTTTTAATGGTTGAAATATTGGTAAGACGTGTGTTATTTTCAGTTTAACTAATTGTCACATCACCATGCATGATTTACGGTACAGCTGTGTACTGTAGAAACCAAATCTTTGGGTGTGGTATGCCTGCCACGGGAGACCTCCGGAAATGAAGAGCACGATGGTGAAGCGTGCCCTTTTCCACAGCATCATAACGTGCAAACGAGCAATGATGCAAAAAGTACTGCATAAGCTCCGGCAGCAACGTGCGCACTGGCAGCAAGCTGGTGGGAGAACAAGTAGACACCGGGCAGAAGTAGCAAAGGCCTGCCCTCTCAAGTCTCCTAAAGATCCAGATCCTTTAGTCCCAACCCATCTCATCCCGAACACGCTCACAGAAACTGAGGGTTTAGGGTTTAGGGTTGAGGGTTGAGGGTTTAGGGTTTGGGGTTTAGGGTTAGCCGGCAGTTTCTTCAGTCCGTGCTTAAAAAAGGGTTTAGGGTTAGGGTTTAAGAACCACTCAGGTTCAAGCGTGTGCAGCACTTGCTTCCAAGCGAGCTGGGCGGGGAGAAGCAGCTCGGATTGTCTATTTGCGTACTGCCCGCACGTCGGGGCAGAGCTCATACAGGGTTTAGGGTTTAGGGTTTAGGGTTTAAGGTTTGGGGTTTGGGGTTTAGGGTTTAGGGTTTGGGGTTGCACGGCATGGAAGGCTCTTGGGCATCAACCGAAGATGGCGCTTCTATCGGTACCTCTCTGGCAACTTGCCGCTTTGTTGCAATGAGCTTTCTTCACGTGGCAGCACAGACTTCATGAACATTCACAACTCCCATTTTATTTCAATCACATCGGCATGGCATCAAGCACGGCTGCGGGAATCACAGCAGGCGGCGGCATTCCTGTCCAACTTGTTCCTTGCATGAACACGCAGTCATTTTGGCTTAGATATTGCGTGAGGGCGTTCTCTCGGCGACGGCCTGCGCAGGAATGATGGCGAAGCACTCGCAGTGCTGGACAGCGCTGTGTGCGCTGGCGGCGCTGATGGCGCTCAGCCTCTCCGGATGCGTAGAGTCAGAGCCCAGCGACGTCGCGCCGGAGTCAACGAACGCGAGCACAACCGACCTCGGCAGCCCTGTGGCACCCCTTTGCTTTTGTTTTTTTTTTTGGTTCAAGGTGCCCTTAATAAACTCACCAACCCCACAAAGGGGAAACCTTCAATGTAATGTGGTGCCTGGGCTACCAAGGCACTCAGACGACCGGGTTCTTAGGCTCCACCACGACGACGTCCACCACCACCTGGACCCTCGGGAACCAAATGAACCCTAAAATTGGGGCCATATACCCTGGACTACTATACTCCCTATTGAGGTCTATGAAGCCCTAAACCCTAAACCCTAAACCCATTTTAAGGTTCATACTTGGTCCTTAAGGACGTATCTTGTGCCAGCGCGATCCCAAGCGCTCGATGCCCAGTTCCTGTTCCTTGGTGGCGGTAGTATGAAGTAACCCAAAAAAAGGGTACCCCTAAACCCTAGACCCTAAACCCTGAACCCAAAACCCTAAACCCTAAACCCCAAACCCTAAACCCTAAACCCTAAACCCCAAACCCTAAACCCCAAACCCTAAACCCACCCATAACAATCCTTGCCTATGAAGATGGTTTTTTCTGGGCCACCAAGGATCCAGGCGACCTTTGGCCCGACGAAAGCAACACTCAAAGAGCTGGAAGGGGTGGATTATGATGCCCGCCTCGCCTGTTTGCAGCGCTTTTTTGCTTTTGGCATTCTTTTGGCCGAGCGGCAGGTATATCTCTAATTATCTCTACACATGTACATGTGTAGATTTCTCTCTCGTTCTCTCTCTCTCTCTCTCTTTCTCTTTCTCTCTTGTTGCGCAAGTCTCAAAAATTGCCTTTAACGCCTGATGTCCCAGCGTGTGCGCCAGGCCTGGCTCGAAGCCCAGCTGTCGATGCCGCCGACACTCCTTCGCAGCCACTACCGGGCCCGTGCAAATCCGCGCGTTGCCGAGGACAAGCCTGCGGGAGTTCCTCGTACCTCCTGCGAGCCTGGCTCCCGTTGGCTCCAGGTCGCCTTCACTTCTGCTGACGTGGGCGCACGCGTCGTGGCCAACGGTGCTCAGATCTTCGTTGCCGGTGCCCTGCGCACCTCGCTGGATGCAGCATATACGAAGAACGCACTCCCACCCCCGATGTCGTGCACTTCCGTCGGCCGTGATTGGTGGCAATGGCAGCCTCATCGGACCTGCGAGAACCAAATCCGACGATGGACTTGCAGCGGGGATGCGTCATGGACCCTCGACAAGTCCTGTCAGCAGGAATGCTTCGATGGTGGCTACCGCTACGATGGTGACGATTGCTCGCCTGGATGGCCCAATTTCAACTTCACTGGCTATCTTTGCTCGGTGGGACCAGCCGCAGCCGTGGGAAACCAGATAGAGCTTTCCACGAATGCGGCCTGCGAGGACAACGACAAGATCTTCATGCTGAACCCTGGCTTGTGGGTGGACGGCCTGACAGATGCAGCGGGAAGCTTCGAAACCGTACGTCCCTCTGTGATTGTCCTCACTCAGAGCCCAGCCAATTGTGAGTTTGGGGAGTTCATTCAGGTAAACGGGCAGACTTTCCGACATGAGTCTCGGCTAAAGTTGCTGGACGTGACACGCCCGGCAGAGGCGTGTGTGGCCGTACCCAAGACGCCCCTGAACGTGGATGGATGTGAAGTACAAGCCGGAAGGGTGTGCGATCTAGCTCGAGGCGCAGATTCAGCAATGATCCTGAACAGCTCAACACTGCAGCTGATCTCAGAGCATGCGAACCGGTACATCTTCGCGGTGTCCGGGCTCAGCACGACCCTGAGCCCCTGCGGCACACTAGCTCGATGGAAGCTGTTGGACTGCCAGGCGGCAAGCTGCACTGCAACGTCCTTGCAGGCCTCGGACGTGACCCTCCTCTCCAACGCTCTCTCCACCCAGACGGGCGGCCTGCGCGACGTCTACGTGAACTGCCAGTCGGTGCCTGCGGCCTCCGTGGTTCAGGTTGGCGGCGACACTTTTCAGCATGTTCACATTCATGAGGGCAACGTCTACGACTTCACGGACTGGGTCAGTGCACATCCAGGAGGCTCAAGTGCCATCACCAAGTGGAGCAGCAGCGGCTACAAGCTGCAATACCCGGGAAACCATCCGATGGACCGTTTCGAGACCCAGGTTCGAGGCAATGTCCTGCAGTACATCGGCAAGGAGGACTCCGAAGTGCGCTACCTGGACCTACCCACCAACCTGAAGACAGAGGCCTTGGCTCTTGAGCTGGCCAGCACCAACTCCCAAAACCTTTCCCTGGCCTGCCCCTCTCCGGGCGAAACGGCCAACAACCCGCAGTTGGGCAACAACATGCCCTTCTACTACCGGTTCCTTGGGAACGAAATGAACCCTAAAAGGGTTTATGGCTCATACACCTCGATAGGAATTATAGTAATCAGGGCACATGACCCCCAATTCTAGGGTTCATTTCGCCCCCAAGGTTCTTGGACTTTTCTGACCTGCGCAATGACATGGATTTCGACCACCCGAGTGAGTACGAGCACCGGGGCAGGCCACGGATTCCGAGGACCAGCGCCTGGTTTCTTGGGAACCAAATGAGCCCTAAAATTGGGGCCCTATACCCTCTACTTTACTATAATCCCTATGAAGGTAGTATGAACCATAAACCCTTTTAAGCCCTACTAGAATCCCTATTAGGGTAGTATGAACCATAAGCCCGTTTAAGGTTCATCTGGCCCTTAAGGTTCAATCAGGTGTCGACTGCGCCGGACCAGCTCCGTCAGCGTATGGCGTGGGCTCTGTCTCAGATCCTGGTGGTGGGCCTTGGTGGCTTCACGTATTCGGAGATGCACGAGCTCTGGATGAACTACTATGACATCCTTGTGCGACATGCATTTGGGAACTACCTCGACTTGCTCCGGGAGGTGACTTTCAATCCCCTCATGGGCGAGTATCTCTCGTTCTTGAGAAACACCGCCTTTGATCATGACCAGAACTACCCGGACGAGAACTACGCCCGCGAGGTGATGCAGTTGTTCTCCATCGGCACGGTCAAGCTGAATCAGGACGGATCTTTCGTCTTGGATTCATCTGGCAACCCAGAGGCCACGTACGACAACGAAGACATCACAACCTTCGCCAGCGTGCTCACCGGCTTCGATCGCCAGGAGTGGCGCAGCAACATCGAGATGGTGCCAAGCACCTCCGCAGGCCGCAACATCATCGATGCCATGCGCATGGTATCGAGGTGGCATGATGCCTACCCGAAGATGGACCTGCACGGGAACTACCTTGGCGATGGGTACCCCCTTTGCTCAGACATGCTCGACGATCAGTTCCTGCGGAAGGGAGCGCGCTATGAGTTCGTGACGGTGAGCCAGGAGGCTGCGAGCTCCGTCATGACGCTGCGCCCCGACTCCGCGTTGTACAAGGCCCTCTGCTCTGCTGATGGCTCGGGTCCCTGCCGCTTCAATGCCAGCATCGTGCTGCAGACGGATCTGACCTGCTACCAGGAAGAGTGCAGCACCACACGCCCACTAGTGGTCCAGGTTGGAGATGCTTTCTACGAGTTCATGCCGCCTCCCTGCGTGCATTTCTTCTTCTTCGAAGGAGGGAGGGGCTATGCCTTATAATCCCCACACATCAAACCCTATCAAGGGGCTTTTTCAAGGGTTTATAGGGTATAATTCCCACAACCAGGGCTTTTAGCCCCATAAGAAGGGTGGTTATAGGGTAGAATAGTGCGCGGCTGGAAGGCCGGATTGCCACTGGGAGTGCCTCCCGAAGGCAGTGGTCGTCTCGGAGGATCTGCACGAACCCTGCGACCTTCGTAGGCGGCGCCTACTGCTGCGCGGGCTGCTCGAACATTCCGCCCGCGTACTTCTACCAGAGAGACGATGGAAAAGTCTATGACTGCGTGAACAGGTCGGATGGGGCTTTTACAGGCAGCGGCTGCAACATTCAGGGCCCAGGGAGCTGGTGGGACCAGAACAAGTGGTGCGAACTCCGCTGTGATCAGCTGAATCTGAGCTACGGAGGTCCCTGTGTCAGGGACTACGAGGAGGCCCATGTCTGCGGCTATCACCAGGAGTACATGTCTTACGAATCGGCCGAGCGCAGGTGTGCTTCCCAGGGTCTGAACATCTGCGACCGCGGCACGAAGTTGACGACCTGCGGGCTGAACGATGACGATGCCCAGGTTTGGACACAGGAGACCTGCACCACCAACATCACGGTAGATGAGGTCGGAAGGGTGAGCTCCCAAAGGACGGAGAAGATGAAGATGAACAAGCTGCGGGTGCGCTGGACCAGCGGCTTTCCTGACGTCAGTGCCTGTCCCGCAGGCTGCGGATCCTTGGGGAGCTCTTGCGAGTGCCCGGTCCGGGTGGTGACCCGGGCTGTTTTTGACCGCATTCCTGGGGCCACCGAGCTTTCGACGCTGGCAGTGGGCGCCCTCCCACCTCAGCAGGCGTGCAGCCACTGTGGGGACGTGAAGGCCTACACGACTGGTGGCACCTTTGATGAGAAGACGGTCTTTGAGTACCAAGGCAAGTTCTACCGGAACATCGAGAGCCTCGTCTACGTCGGGGACAAGAGCTTCCGGAACCCGCCCCGCTTCTTGGGAACCAACTGAACCCTAAAATTGGGGCCATATACCCTGTACTACTATAATCCCTGTTAAGGTATATGAACCATAAATCCTTTTAAGGTTCATTAAACCCTAAACCCTAAACCCTTTTAAGGTTCATTTGGTTCTTATAAGGCTTCGGGCTGGAGGAGGAAGTCAATGAGCTGTCGGCGCGGTGGGAGATCGAGAGCCTTCTCGAGCACTTGGTGACATGGTAGCCCAGTGGTACCCTCTTCCCTTTTCTTGGTTCAAGGTTCCCTTATAAAGTAACCCTAAACCCTAAACCCTGAACCCTAAACCCTAAACCCTGGCAGAGAGCGCGTGCCAAAAACCCTAAACCCTAAACCAACCCAAAAAAGGGTGCCCTTATCATGACATGGTTAACTACTGGGCTGCCGAGGTGAACCACCCCAACACACCGACCTTCATCGGGCTGCGGCTCATCCAGCGCTTCGTGACGTCCAACCCCACGCCAGGCTACGTCTCCGACGTGGCTGAGGCCTTCAAGACTCTTCCTTAGCCAACAGTAGAACTTTAAACTGTTTGGGCTTCCTTTAGGAATTTTAGTAGGGATCATAAAGTGTTAGCCTTCAAGACTCTTATTGGCCAACAGTAGAGCTTTGAACTTTTTGGGCTTCCATATTTAGTAGGAATCATAAAGTTTAACATGTTTTTGTTTTGCTCCTTTTGGGCTTCCTTATTCAGTATCATAAAAGTTTCATTATTCCTTTGGTTAGTGGGTTAGTGGAGAAGCCCCAAACCCTAAACCTTAAACCCTAAACCCTAAACCGTAAACCCTAAGCCCTATAGACCCTAAGCCCAAGGACTGGTACCTATCAAGGCCACACCTTCTCAGGCCGGCGTGGCGACTTGGCGGCCACCATCGCCGCCATCCTCTTGCACCCAGAGGCCGTGGTACTTACCCGAAGGGTCCTGGGTTTAGGGGTTAGGGTTTAGGGTTTAGGGATACCTAAACAAGGAATACTTGGGCCTTCAAGTACTTGCTATCAAGTGGACTTTGGGGCCCAAGTGTATAACAATTAGGTACATGGAGCCTTAGGGTAATAAGGTGCAAGTAGTAAGGCGGGTCCCCAAACCCGAAACCCTAAACCTTAAACCCTAAACCCTTTTTTGCCCTAAACCCTAAACCCTAAACCCTAAAACCCTAAACCCTAAAATCCTAAAACCCTAAACCCTAAACCCTAAACCCTAAACCCTAACCCTAAACCCTGAGGCCGTGGGGGCTGCAAGCCGCCGCGGGGCGCTCCGCGAGCCGCTGCTCGGTAGCCTATGTGGTTCCCTTTGCATTTTTTTGTTTGGGGGGGGGAGGGGGGTTTAGGGTTTAGGGTTTAGAGTTTGGGGTTTGGGGTTTAGGATTTAGGGTTTAGGGTTTAGGGGTACAGGTTCCCTGTCATAAAGTATAGCCCAACACAACCAGAGAGGGTGCCCTGATTATGATGAAGATGCTTATTACTGGGACTACCTAAGGCTCATCAAGCTGGTTCACTTCCTGCGGGCCTTGGATTTCGAGGACTCCGCGGGGCGCGAGATCCTGTTCCAGGAGTTGCAGCCCTTGATTGGCCAGGGCCCCTTCGAGTCTCCGTCCGTCTTCAACTTCTACCGGTCGGACTACCAGTCCAGTTCGATGCCGGCCGACGTTGTCGCGCCGGAGGCGCAGATCATGGACGCCAGCAACATGGTCAACTTCCTCAATGGCATGCTGTCCCTGGTCAAGCACGGTGGCATCACGCACTGTGATGGGGGCTTCGGCATCGACACCAAGACGTGTGAGCAGAACTCTTTCAAGCACGGCCTGAACATCACGCAGTCTGGCGCCACCCAGGTGCCTACTATATCCCCTTGGGAATCATTTTTGACTTTTTTGTTGATCGACGACCCAAGAGGATATTAACAATATTAATTAGCAATTTTTTTTTGAGCATTACTTTTTTCTTTTTTTATATCATTTCTTATTGTTATTTTTATTCTTCTTCTTATTATATTTATTGTTCTTAATATATTCAGGTTTTCTAAAGGGGAGTGTAGGTGCTATCCGAGCTGGACCTGCTTTTGACGGGAGGGCGGATGACGAACGCCACGCGGGCCGTGGCCCGCGCCAGCTTCTTACTTCGCCGTTAGTTGAGCGTGAAGCTTTTTGGGTTTCCTTGATTGGTAGGAACCCTAAACCCTAGACCCTAAACCCTGAACTTTGGCCCTAAACCCTAAACCCTAAACCCCCCTTGGTTATTGGAGAAGTAAGGCTTAGAGGCCTGGGACAAGGAGGAGCACCAAGTCAAGGCTGCCCAGGAGGCGGTTCTCCTGGCCCCAGAGTTCCACACCTTAGGGTCCCCTCTGCCACAAGGCGGGGGTTTCCAAAAGTAAGGGTACCTTCTTGGGGTTTAGGGTTTAGGGTTTAGGGTTTAGGGTTTAGGGTTTATAGAGTTTAGGAGGGTTTAGGGTTCTTTTTCTTAGGGCATCCCTCATGTTCCCTAAACCCCCCCAGGTGTGCGAAGTGAAGACTCCCAGTCCAATACGGAGACCGCCGCGCCACGGTCCTACAAGGCGCTGATCAACCTCTATCTCAATGGTGGCTTGGTAGGTAGAGTAGGTAACCTTTTAACCTTTTTGGGGTATTAGATACCCTAAACCCTAAACCCTAACCCTAATTCTGGACAACCAAGGTGGTGCCGACACCTTCAACCTCCTTGTGCCTCTGGATTGCGCGCTTCATGACGAGTACGTTGCTGTCCGAGGACCTGCGGCCTTGCTGAACGCCGAGCTCCTGGAGATTCAGACCACAGGCCAGGCTTGAGAGCGAAGTCCCTTTCGGGAGGGTTTAGGGTTTAGGGTTTAGGGTTTAAGGGTTTAGGGTTTAGGGTTTAGGGATTAAATTTTAGGGTTTCCGGTATGCACCCAGCACTTCCTTGTCCGCAGTGTTTTCACCGGGTGTGAGCAAGGAAGTCGTCACGCCGAGCGGATCAGGACACAAACAGCCTTAAAGACCAAATGAACCTCAAAAGGGTTTGTGGTCTCATATACCTTAATAGAGATTATAGTAGTCTAGGGTATATATGACCCCAATCTTATGTCGCGTGATCACTTACAACTTCTCCATGCCTACTTTTTTTCTTTAGAACCCCCCCCCCCAAAAAAAAAGAGTGTAATTAAAATAAAAACAAACTTCCTCATATGGGCAACACTGGGATTTTCTCTTTACATTTGTTTGGGGCTCTTAAGCAAGTAGCAGATGCCTCGCCTTTGGCCGAAGACTCTGGGCGAGGGGATGGGACATGGAGGTGAGGTTCGATGGATCTTTGGGGTATTTAGGGTGTAGGGTTTATTGGGCCCAGCTAGGACTCGGAAGGTTGCATGTAACACATGCAAGCCGTCCCATCGGCGGAATCCACGAAAGTTTGTTCGGTGGGGGAGGGATGTGCCCACCAGGTTGCCCATCTGCTTCTGTTGCAAAGCACAACAGCTTCTAGACACCAGAAGACACTTCGCAAGGGAAAAGGCGCAGAGAAGTCACAGTAGGGGGCGGGACACCTTTCAGGCTCTGAGGCAGGGGTGTGAATGGAAGGAGATGAGAACCATAAACACATCAGTTCCCGACTCTTCAAGGGGGATAAAACGGGAAAATGAAACGGGGCATGACGCATTGAGGGCATCAGCGAAATCAAGAGTCTACTTGCATTGATGTTTTATTCTTGTAACCGACCCTCGGCCCTCGGCCCTTAAAAGACGGGTTTAGGGGTAGAAGCCCTGATTGCAACATGCGACACCCACTGGAAAGGTTTAGCCCGGGGTGAATGCGAGAGTTTCCTGGACCCCTCAAAAATCCTCTTTCAGGATTAGGAGCACGTCTCCTGCCCCGCTTGTGTGTGTGTGTGCGGAAAGTTTCTCCATCGAACGGACGTGTCGCCGTATGCATGGCCCACTCGGCTTCTGAGGCTGGAAGAGGCCCTAACAAGCAGCACAATTGGACAGTTACTTGTGGTTCAGGGTTGGGGGTAAGAGGGTTTACGGCTCCCAGCCGTGTCAAGTAGGCCGACAGATTATCTACATATATATATATATATATATATTTTTGTTTATTAATGTATATACATACACACACACACACACACACACATATATATATATATATATCATTTCAGCATGCATTCGACACCAGGTCAAGCTTGCAGCAAGTTTGGCGTCCACCACAAGCTGCCTGTGACCCTTAGCCAATAGTTGAACGTGAAGCTTTTTGGGTTTCCTTAATCAAGTATAGGAAGAATGAAGCCCTAAACCCTAAACCCTAAACCCTAAACCCTGAACCCTGAACCCTGAACCCTGAACCCTGAACCCTGAACCCTGAACCCTAAGCTTGATTTTGCTTTTTGGAGAAGTAAAAGGATCCGTCAGCTCTACCAGGATGGAAAGGCCGCCTTCGTCAGCAACGTCGGGAGCCTCGTCGAGCCCTTGAACCGCAATGAGTACGACAACGGCCTCAAATCCGTGTCTTACTTCGCCTTTAGGGTTTAGGGTTTAGGGTTTAGTTGAGCTTTACGCTTTTTTGGGTTTCTGTCTATTTTGGTAGGAATATTCAAGTTCAACCTTTTGTTCCCCTTAACCACTGGAGAAGTAAGGTGTGCGCCGGGCTCTTTTCTCATTCCGACCAGACGGAGGCGGCTCAGACGTTGAAGTGTCAAATCCGGGGCTCCGCTCCCAAAGGCGTGGGAGGCCGAATGGCCGACGCGCTCTCATCCGGGACGCAGCAGTTTCGGACGGCCTCGTACCCTAGTAGTAGAGTAGGTAAACCTTTAACCTTTTTGTAATTGTAGAATTCCCTTATAATCCCAAAGGTTAACCAGTAGTAGAGGAGGTAACCTTTAACCTTTTTGGGGTAGTATAATTCCCTTATAATCCCAAAGGTGAACCTTGAGTTCTCCCCAGGTTACCGGACAACGAAGGTACTCCCTGAGCGGCCGGCAGACTTGGGCACAGGGCGTGGACATCAACCAGATCAGCGTCGCACGAAGCGGTGAGGTGCCGACACTCAACAACTACACGGGACGGAGGCAGCTTCTCGAAGATCTCTCGCAGACGGCCTACGGCAACATCTACTGCGAGGAGTATGCCCGGAATCTTGGGAAGTGGGTGGACTCGAATCAGGTCTTGTCTGACCAGCTCCAAACGGCAAACCTCAGCACCACCTGGCCAACCGACATCGAGGACTGGAGCAGGCGGCAACTAGGTAGGCCTTTGGGACATGTTAGATTTTCCCTTCTTGGGTTTCAGAGGCCCTAAAAGGGTCCATGTACCTAGTCATTGTATACTTGGGCCCCAAATTCCCCGTATAGCAAGTACTTCAGAGCTGTTCCCAATTTGGGTACATGGACTCTTGGAGAGGATCATTTTCAGGAACCCTAAACCCTAAACCCTAAACCCTAAACCCTAAACCCTAAACCCTAAACCCTAAACCCTAAACCCTAAACCCTAAACCCAGACAAGGGGCCATCCGAGGCAAACACTGCTGTCCTTCCAGACTGTGGCCAAGCTGATTGCCTCTCGAGACTCGGTAGCCCAGTGGTCTTTTACCCTTTCCTTTGGGGTTCAGGTTCCCTGATATCAAGTAACCAACCCCAAATCAGGGTTATACCCCTAAACCCTAAACCTAAACCCTAAACCCTAATTAAACCTTGTTCTAATATGGTCATCGGGCCACTAAGGAGAAGCTCGCAAGGTGGAGCGTGACTTCTTCTACGTGGAGCTCCGTGGCTTCGACACTCACAACGACGTCCGGCCCGTGATGGAAGAGCTCTTCGGCAACCTGAACTTTGCGCTCGAGGCCTTGGTAGCCTAACAGTACCCTATACAGGGTTTAGGATTTAGGGTTTAGGGTTTAGGGTTATTACTGGACTACTAAGAGGCCTTCGTGGCGGAACTCAAGGCGCAGGGCGTCTGGGACGCGACCACGCTGGTCACTTCTTCGGACTTCGGGCGCACGCTGACCTCGAATGGTAAGGGCACCGATCATGGATGGGCTGGGAACTACGTGGTCCTCGGTGGAGCCGTGAAGGGCGGCCAGGTCTACAACCGATTCCCGGCCAGCCTTGCCGAAGGCAACAATCAAGATGCAGGCCGCGGCCGCATGATCCCGGAATACCCCTGGGAGAATGTCCTCATGCCTATTGCTGAGTGGATGGGGGTAGAGAGCTCGCACCAGCGGGATGTCTTCCCAAATATCCAGAACTTCAATGCGTCGCACATCTTGGCAACCAACGTGCTGTTCGCATCTTAGTCTTAGCAGCGTGATTCGGCTGGATGCCCCCAACAAGAGAGGCATTCAACGCCCGATGGGCATGTCCCAGCAGAAGCCGGACCAGAGCGACACTAAACAGGCTCAACCCCATCAGGGAGTAAACCGGAACTTGCACCCTAAACCCTAAACCCGAAACCCTAAACCCTAAACCCTAAACCCTAAACCCTAAACCCTAAACCCTAAACTACTATTAAATAATTATGGTTAAAAGGGTAGTGGGGGGGGGGGTGCTGGAGATCCAGAAAGCCTGCTTTGTGGCACATGTCCTAGACCCCAGCAACGAAACCCTAAACCCTAAACCCTAAACCCTAAGAAAGCCTGCTTTGTGGCACGTGCCCATTTTCAGACTCCGGAATGGGATGGCACTTTAAGGGTTCAACCCGCCAGTGTTCTCATCTCGGCCAGGCTTCTGGCCCCGATCCCCCAAGTCCCTGCATAGCGGCCGCCCCTACAGTAAAGCCGTAGACTCACCCTAAACCCTACACCCTACTAGACCCTGAACCCTGAACCCTAAACCCTACACCCTACACCCTAAACCCTAAACCCTAAACCCTAAACCCTAAACCCTAAACCCTAAACCCTAAACCCTAAACCCTAAACCCTAAACCCTAAACCCTAAACCCTAAACCCTAAACCCTAACCCCCCCCCCCCCCTTACACCTGCATACCAGGAGCCCTTGGGGGGGTCGGAGTTCGGGGTCCCTTCGACATCTTTCAATTGCTGGGCACCACGAAGTGGTGCCCGGTGGCCCCCAGATCGGCTCCGGAGCTGTGCCGGTTAGGGTTTAGGGTTTAGGGTTTAGGGTTTAGGGTTTCGGGTTTAGGGTTTAGGGTTTAGGGTTTAGGGTTTAGGGTTTAGGGTTTAGGGTTTAGGGTTTAGGGTACTTATTCACCACTGCCAAGTATAACTACCACCTCTAACCATATTAGGGCACTTAAGGGGCTTATAAGTGGGTTAGACGTACAGTTATAATTGGTTAATAAGTGCCATGAACCTCCAAGTGCCGGGCATTCTTTCTCGATAGCCCGCGGTAGGACTCTTGCTCATGTCAAACCCAAGGGGAGCAGGAACAGAAACATGGTTCCTTGAGCATTCCGAAGGGAGATGCTTTTTTTCTGGTTCTGGAGCCGATCGCTCTTGCGCGATTTTGGAGATTTATGCCGACTGCTGCATTTGGTGATCTGAGATTATTTGCTGAGAGGTGCTAAGTTGCCTCATGCCTTGCTGCTTGCCGCCATCGCGTGTTGTGTGGCAAACCTCAGGGTTCAGCAGGGTCCGATGCGTGGCGTACCAAACAATTCTGTTGTGATACGCTTTGCCTCTGTCAGGGGGTTGCCTGTGCCAATGGCCATGGCAAGACCGGCACCCGCCCAGAAATGGGCACTGCCTCTGGTGTGCAAAAGATCTCTGGCCTGACACTGACACATAGGTAGCAACAGTAACCGAGAGTCTAAGGTTATCTACATGGTCCCTTAACATGGATCCTTAATTGGGGACTCCTTCTATACCCCTTATATACCCTAGAAATCCCAAGGGCCCATCCCTACAACTCTACTTATAACCAGGGGGGCCTCCGCCCTAAACCCTAAACCCTAAACCCTAAACTCTGCATCGGAGCTTCTCGGACCCTGCAAGCCTTCAAAGAGATCGAGGTACCGGAAGCACTTGGACGGCGCTTGGCCAGCCAGCGGGCTCAGACGCGGCGAGGACGGCCAGGACGAGTACGCAACTCGCCCAAGGGGTTTAGGGTTTAGGGTTTAGGGTTTAGGGTTTAGGGTTTAGGGTTTAGGGTTTAGGGTTTAGGGTTTAGGGTTTAGGGTTTAGGGTTTAGGGTTCCCTAAGGCTCTAAGGCCTCTGATTTTAGGGTTTTGGGCCCAAAAACCTTCTTGTACCAGGTTTTTGGGCTATTTTGAAGCCCAAGGGTCAGGGTTTGTCCCATGGTAGGCTCGTTGGGATGAGCGCTTTTCATTTTTCCAGGCGTGGGTTTAGGGTTTAGGGTTTAGGGTTTAGGGCTTGGGGTTTAGGGCAAAAGACACACCCAAGACATGCCAATCTTGTACAGAAAGCATGGGGACATCAAGGCTCTCCCGGCCGTACCGTAGTTTAGTGTTTAGGCTTTAGTGGCATGGGCCCCTGGTGAGGTTTATGATGCCTACGGCGGCGGCACGAGATCCAAGCTAACGCTGCTTGGCTCAATCTTGTTAGCTCTTTTGCGCTCCTCGCGGAGGTTTGGAGGATCAAGGCTTCACATCTGTGTCGGACGACAGTCGCTCACCCCACACACCCGGCTGCTCCACCGCCTGCAGCCATAGACCACAAGCGTCCGCGTTCTCTGTACACTAAACCCTGAACCCTGAACCCCAAACCCTAAACCCTCAACCCTGAGTGGGCCTTTGCTTCTGGCTTTCACCATGAGAACAAGAAGGAGCTGCCTTTATGTGTTCTGAAGTATGGGTGGGCCCTTAGTATATACCCTAAGGGTCCATGTACCTGAATAGGGAATACTTGGGCATTATACATATATATATATATGTATATGTATATATATATATATATATATACATATATATATGCATATACTTATATATATATATATATTTATATTTACTTATTTATAGATATAGATATCTATAGAGGAAGTTTGGGCCCAAGTATTTCATTACCAGGTACATGGACCCTTCGGGATACAGTGTATTTAAGGGTTATATGACAAAGGACCCAAAACTAAGGGTCCATAATTGGAACCGTAGAAACAAAGTCAGCAAAAAGGTTAGGGTTTAGGGTTTAGGGTTTAGGGTTTAGGGTTAGGTTCATCATCTACTTGAATGACGACTTCGAGGGCGGCTGCACCACTTTCTACACACCAAACCCAGGCCTGTCTGTGAGGAAGGACTGGAGGGTTTATAGGGCATAGGGTTTATAAGCCCTATAGGGTTTAGGGTTACGATCTCGGTTGTCTCGGGTTAGAGCGACCGTGGGGTTTAGAGTTCAAGGCTTCGAAACCGGTTGAGGGTTTTAGGGCTTACAAACGCGTTTACTTACTGTTGGTTAGCATGGAATGAGGGAATTTGGGTCCTACATAATCCCTTAAAGGCTATATATATATACATACATATATAGGGGGGGATATAGGGTGCCCCATTCCCTCCTTCCCTACTAACCAACAGTTTAGAATCCAAGGCTGAGAAATCTCGGGCTTGACGTTGCACTGTGGTGGGGTCTTCCTAACCTCCCCAGGCCAAAGCACCCTCAATCCCTTAAAAGTTTCCGAATCCCTAAACCTACACTTTGGAGCGAGGCCGAAAGTGCTTGATTCATGAGCGCTTGCAAAATTAGGTGGCGTAAAATTCTGGGGCATCCCGGTACAGAGGATTATGTCATATTTTGGATTCTATACTGTGTAAGGGTAACCTTGTTTGGGAGCTGACTAGAGTTGAGGGACTGATAGCCAAAGATAGGAAGCTTTGACCCCAATTGATGATCCCTATGTCTCTACTTATAACTAGGGGGGCCCCTAAACACTATATTCCGGACCCTAAACCGTAAGCCCTATTAAACCCTAAACCCTTCTTGTAAGCACAGGTACGGAGGGCACGCTGGACTCCCGACCCGTGAAGCCCCGCATCGGATCCGCGAGCGCTGCCCGCTGCGCAAGGGGTTTAGGGTTTAGGGTTTAGGGTTTAGGGTTTAGGGCAAAAAAGGGTTTAGGGTTTAGGGTTTGGGGTCCCGGGACCTGCTTGGAAGCCCTTTTGACTTCGTAAGTGCCGTGTAGACAGTTAACAAGAAGCCCCAACTAGCCTTAATCATGGGGGGAACCACGGGGAGGTAGTATAGAGGGGGGGTAGTAGGGGAACCCATGAAGTTTCCTATCTTTGGGCCATAGTAGCCACCCATTTTGGGTAACTAGGCGTTTAAGGTAGGGTTAGTAAGTTGGGTTACGGGATGATTAGAGGGTTTGTAGGGATACGAAGTAGACTTACCAAGTCAACAAAAAGGGCTTCCAAGTTGCGTAGGTTTTGGGGTTTTGCGGTTTTGGGGTTTTGGGGTTTTGGGGTTTTGGGGTTTAGGGGTTTAGGGGTTTAGGGGTTTAGGGTTTAGGGGTTTAGGGCTTAGACTTGGGTCCAGTGGGAGAAAGGGTTTAGCGTTTGAGGGCTTTATAGGGTGGAATTGCCGGGGTCCCAAAGGCCAGAATCGCCCAAAGTAGATTCTGCCAGGTTTCAGATTGTGCAGCTCTTCTGCCAAAAAAAAGGGGTAGACTCGGGTAGGGTTGCTCTAAACCCAAACCCGCAAACAACAAAAACTCCCTGTTTGAAGGTATATAGAGTCGAAGTCATCTAGGTTGGCATCTCCGGGGCGTCGCCCAAAAGCCGGCCCGCAAGCCAGGTTTTTCCGCACGGGGACTGCGGCATCCCACTGCTGCATGAAGGCCTCCAGAGCACATGTGCCTTCGAGGTTAGGGTGTAGGGTTTAGGGTTTCGGGTTTAGGGTTTAGGGTTTAGGGTAAGTTCGGTTCGGGCATTCTGCAGCAAGGCTCCGCCGTGATATCCGGCACAAAGAGCCCTGGACTGCATCACCACGGCCAGTCTTAGTCATGGCCCTCGATGTTGCTGTTGCCAGTGTTCCTAAGGGAGTGCGTGGTTTAGGGTTGGGGGTTTAGGGTTTAGGGTTTAGGCCTGTTCATAGTTGAGGGAGTGTCTTCTGTTTGCTTAAGACCCCCCCCCCCAAAGCAAAAAGATATTCTTCCTTTCAAGGGCAGTACAGGGATTGTTATCTTTCATTTCCTGGGGGGCTCTCAAGCAAACAGTAGGGGTGGGGTTTAAGCATCCGGGCTTTTTTTTTTGGCATCAAGGGGATCCAAGGTATCTGCTGCGGACGGACGTTGTCTATGCACGCCCGGCACCTTGGCGAGACTACAGGACATGCATAACTTTGTGGTTCTTTACTGTAACTTTAGATCCTTAGCCTTTTTGGGTTTATT